TTTAATGTTGTGATATAAAATGAACTAAAATGATTGATGTACTATATTTCCTTGTCTAAATAAATGAAAGCATGGTTTCCCTATTCATATTGAGTTGGATGGGTAGTGTTTTATGAGGCTTGCTCAGTTGTGTTCACTCGATTGAGCGCCGGTCCTACCTCCCAAGGTTGGGGCGTGACAGATTTTGGTAAGGTTTGAGACACTGTCTCTTTTAAGGAAGTTTAAGTTTGAAAAGTCAACTGGATGTTGACTTATGTGTTAGAGGGCTCGGATGTGAGTTTCGATGGTTCGGTTAGCTTCGGGAGGAGATTTGGGACTTAGCAGCGTGATCGGAATGAGTTTTGGAGTTTCGGAGTAGATTTAGGCTTGAATTGGCGAAGTTGATATTTTGGCAATTTCCGGTTGGTAGGCGAGATTTTGGTATAGGGGTCGGAATGGAATTCCGAGAGTTGAAGTAGTTTCGTTGTGTCATTTGGGATGTGTGTGCAAAATTTCAGGTCATTCGGACGTGGTTTGGTCGGGTTTTTTATCAAAAGCGGAATTTGGAAGATTTTTGAAACTTAGGCTTGAATCAGATGTGTTTTGGTTTATTTGATGTTGTTTGAGGTGTTTTAAAGATTTGTACAAGTTTGAATAGGGTTTTAGGATATATTGGTTCCTTTGTTGAGGTCCCGGGGGCCTCGAGTGAGTTTCGAGTGGTCAATCGGACCACTTCATGAAGTTTAGAGTTGCAGATTTGCAGGTTTAGTTGTTGTAGAGATTTCCTCTTCGTGATCGAGTAGAGGGTCTCACGATCGCGTAGAAGATTTTTAGGGGTAGTCCAGTTTGTTTTTTGCATTCGCGAAGGTTGAGTCGCGATCGCATAAAGTGAAGAAGTTGTTGATCGCGAACGCGTGGTGAAGGTTACGTTCACATAGAGTTAAGTGGACTAGGGATTTGACTGGGAGTTTGTTCTTTGCGAACGCGGTCCCCTGTCCGCTATCGCATAGTGTTAGGAGCTTGATCATCGTGTTCGCATAGGCTTATACGCGTTCTCATAGGGTTAATTCTGGGAGCTAAGGATTTGTGCTTCGCGATCGCGAAGGATGTCCCGCGATCGCGATGAAGGAACTTAGGCCTGGGCAGAAGGTTTAAAAGGTCGTCTTGTCTGCGAATGTAGGGTTTATTTCTTCCATTGTTGGTCATTTTTGGAGCTTTTTAAAGGGGATTGAAGAGGGATTCAAGGGGAATCATTTGGAGGTAAGATTCTTGGACTTAAAACTCGATTCTAATGTGAATTCCACCTAAATAATCATGGAAATTAAGCCAAAAATTGAAGAACTAGGGCTTGAAAATTTAGACCTTTGATTGAGGATTTGAAGGACCATTTGAGGTCAGATTTCATAACTTTTGATATGTATGAACTCGTGGGGAGATAACGAATCTATTGATGTAAAAATTATCAAATTCTGAGACGTGGGCCCGGGGTCGGGTTTTGGTAATTTCGGGATTTGTGTCGTATTTTGATTATTTTTGCTTGGGCTCCGTTCCCTTAGCCTATTTTGACATCCTCGTTCTGATTTTAGATAGATTCAACGTGCGTGGAGGCTGATTCGAGGGACAAAGGCGTCGCGAGTTAGAGATTTGACCGGTTCGAGGTGAGTAATGATTGTAAATGATGTTCTAAGGGTTTGAAACCCCGGATTTGCACATCGTGGTGCTATATTGAGGTGAGACACATGCTTGATGACGAGCGTGGGGTCGAGCACTATTGGGGATTGTGAACCCTTCGGGGATTTTTATGATATCTCCTCACTGTTTTGACTTTATACTTGAACTCAGTCCTATTATTTTCCACTGTTTTTATACTCAGCCATGTTTACTCAGTTTTAATACTTAAATGATATTTTAAATGATGTTTGGGCTGATAAACACTATTTTACTATTGCTCCGGTGGCTTGTGAGGATTTTTGACTGAGTAAGGCCGAGGACCTATATTGTGAGGAAACATTTGATACTGATTATGAGGCCGAGGGCCTGAGATATGTATGCCACGAGGTGGCTTGATTGATATGAGGCTGAGAGCCTAGTTTTGATGCCACGAGATGGCTTGTTATTGCGTTTGGGCTGTAAGGGGCCCCTCCAGGAGTCTGCACACCCCCAGTGAGCGCGGGTACCCATTGTGATCTGAGATTTGAGCCCGAGGGGCTGGTACTATTTTGAGATTGAGCCCGAGGGGCTGGTATTGTTCTAAGATGTTGCACGAGGGGCGGATTTGTTGATACTGTGCCCGATGGGCGAACCTTTATGTGTTTACTTTTCATAATTGACTGCCAATTACCTGTTTAATTGTTAAAATAGGCTTTTCATGAAGTTAAATTTGAGTTAAAGGATTTTACCTATCTTTCACTGTTTTACTGTTTTGAAATGGTTTTACTGCTTCATTATAGAATGTTTTGTGCCTTACGTGATTTCTTGCTTTCAGTATTTATTTACATTTGTTACTCACTGAGTTGGAGTACTCACTTTACTCCCTGCACCTTGTGTGCAGATTCAGGCATAGCTGGTCCCGCTCCCGAGTGTTGATCATTTCCAGCTTCACTCGGATCCAAGGAGTCTCTAGGTAGTTGTTGGCGTTAGCAGCCCATATCTCCTCCCTATCTCTTTTCATTTATGGTCTTAGTTCTGTACTAAACTTTGTAGTTACTTTGGGTATTCTGTGTTAGATGCTCGTGACTTGTGACACCCTAGTATCGGGCTGTGTTTGGGCTGTATTCTGCATATTATACTATCTTTTGCTTAGACTTTGGTTTATTTACACATATTTAGGTTGTTTATTACTGATTAACTGTTTAAAAAGTGAATTGGGTTTAATTGTTTGGCCTTGTCTTCACGAGAGGTGCCATCACGACCGGGTTCAGGTTTAGGGTCGTGACAAGTTGGTATCAGAGCCTAGGTTACATAGGTCTCACGAGTCATGAGCAGGTTAGTAGAGTCTCACGGATCAGTACGGAGATGTCTGTATTTATCCTCGAGAGGGTGCAGAACCTTTAGGAAAAACTTCATTTCTTGAAATTCTTATCGTGCGAATCTGTTGGTCCGAGTACTAAACTTCTGTTATTCTATTCTCTCACATATGGTGAGGACACGCGCTACCAGTCAGGATGGACGACCACTAATACCACCGGTTGTGTCCACTAGAGGCCGAGGATGCGGCCGTGGTCGTGGTAGGGTCAGAACAGCTAGGGCAGCACCTGCAGAACTGCTGTGAATTCTAATAATGGTGTAGGTTAGTTCTTGCGGGTATTTTGAATCAATTGACGAAGAGCTCCCTCGTCGAGCGGTGATGGTGATCAAAGATTTAAAAACTAAAGTTGATGTTGCTAAGGTTGAGAGGAACAATTTGAGGAATAAAGTTTACCTCATGGAACAAGCTACGATGGTTCAAAGAGGCTCTAAGAACTTGTTTGATGAAATGGAAGATGTTATGACGGTTGAAAGGCATACTTTGAAGATGAAACTTGACGAAATGGAGCAATTTCAACTTGTGGAAGCTGAAAAAGCTAGTAAGTTAGAGGTCAAAGTGAAGAAGATGAAAAATATCATTTTGGTTTCATGGGATTTATTATTTGCTTTGGTTGTCGTAGGGATGATGAAGTAAATGTATGTTGTTTTAATATGTTTTTGTAGTATTTTGGTTTAGTTATAGGGGTGATGAAGTTAATCTATGTATGTGTAGTATGTTGTAGTATGTTTCCAACTCTTCAAAGTGATGGTATCAATGTTTCTTCTTCAACCATTTGTGGGACAGAACTAGAATGCAGGTTATTCTTCTGTTACTTCAAGAACTTGTTCTTGCTTTATGCGCTAGTATGACTACAGTAGCATTATGGTTAGAATGCAGGAGGCTTCTTGTTGTTGTTTTATTTGGATAATGATAATTGATTTTTGTTGACTATAGTAAACCTGCTGACTAGTAATAAGCAGGCTAAAAAGGGAGCACTCTATTTCTCTGGAGTCCAATAATGTGAGTATATAAGTTAAAAGGATTGTGAGTACCACTTCTATAAGTTAAAAGGACTATGAGTATATAACATTGTAGTTCACTCTAGTTTAGGCTTTTACCTCACAAATACACTGTCAAATTTTGCAAAAAAAAAACACTGCTGTAATCATTGATTATGTCAAGGAATGTATTGCCCAGTCCTTTCCACTAAAGTTGTTTTTAATATGATAGAGTGGGATTATGATATTTCCGAGATAAATTAGCAGAATTGACATTTCAGGAAATTGTTAAATACATGTTACACGTTGACTTTAAAGCACAATCAGTTTTTATTGCAAAAGGACCACTCTTACAAGAATGATTCCTAATTGGCAACTAAACTAAGCATTTTGCAACTCAGCAACTCAACAAGCATTTTGCAAACATATACGCATAAACCATATGCAGTAGACTACTAGGGAACACTAAACAAAGGTTTAAATGATGTAGCCAAATACACATCAACCATATGCAGTAGACTACTAGGGAACACTAAACAAAGGTTTAAATGATGTAGCCAAATACACATCAACCATATGCAGTAGCCAAATATGGCTAAGTCTCGACTATATGCAGTAGCCAAATATTTAAACCTTTGTCAAACATATACACATCAACCATATGCAGTAGCCAAATATTTAAACCTTTGTCAAACATATACACATCAACCATATGCAGTAGCCAAATATTTAAATGATGTAATTAAGTCTCGACCAACTATATCCCCTTCACCCCTTTATTATATCTAGCACAACAAAGGTCATTCATAACAACAGTTTCTGTTCAGCACTTCCCATCAAACTATCCTAATAGCACTGCCCAGCAAACTATCAGCACTGCTACTGCCCAACAAACTACCAGCACTGCTACCAACAAAACAAACACCGTCAAAACAGCTGCAACAAAATAGCACTGCTGTGCAAACTAAACCAAAATAACATTGTCTAGCAAAATATCAAAACAAACAGCACTGATGTAATATTAATTTGTTGTTGCTAAACCAAATGGCACTGCATCAAAATTTTAGTTTACTGCTGCTACAAAACAACACTGTCTATCCATCAAAACATGTTTACAAATAACTACTAAACCAAACAGCACTGCTGTAATATTATAGTACCAACCAAAACATCAAAACAAAAGGGTTCTGTGAGTTTACAGATTTGCAACTACATACAATAACCAAGATTCCTAGATTTGTGAGTTCCCATTGAGTTTCCTACACTTCAACTTTTCGACTTTCTTTTGTCTTGCCACTTCCAATTGATTTTCGTCACAGCTTCTTTGCCTTTCCAAGTGAGCTTAGTTGGTGAGTAAGGAAGATCAGTGGGATAACTGACACTAGTATGATCTCCTCTGAAAGAGATGACTCTTGTCCCTGCTGAGGCCAATTGTTGCTACGTCATCAGTAGTCGTGTTTGATCTTCAGAAATAATCTTAGGCATTAAATCAGGGTCATTTTCATGCTCACTACCATCACCAAAGGGTTCTGCTTATTGTATTGGTACTCTTGGTGTAGGCATAAACACAAATTCACTTTCACGTTCACCTTCTTGTGTTGGTTGAGTTGGTTGAGGGACTGAACAACTAACATCCTCAACATTTCCTTCACCACCAACCTATTAAAAAGAAAAACTTTCTATTAAGTTAAGAATAATTGCAATTATATAAGAAGAAAGATAACAAGTTAAGAAGCAAGTACCTTGCATGTCCTTGAATTGTGGTCCAGTTCACCACAAATGTTGCATGTCATTCTAGTTTCCCTTCTTGATGCAGCCCAATCTCCTTGTCTCTTGTTAGCCTCATCTTTCTCCCTATTTCTTTTGACTTTTGGCCTTCCAACAGTTTTGGAAAGTGGAGGAGGGTCCATAGCATGTTCTGGTAATACTTTCTAGAACTTTTCACCTCTAACAGGCATCAACTTGTCCCTATATGTCATCGGGTAAGCTTCCTTGTTGTGCCACCAACTAATTTCAGTCATTGGATCCTCTTTCTCGTATTTTAGTGCCCTGATGGTATGAGGGCATGGGATGCCAGTCAACTGCCAGGATCTACAAGTGCATTTTTTCTCCACTTGGTTCAGTGTATGTCTATCACCACCCTCAGAGACCTCATAACCAGTTTCACCATTGAAATGAACAGTACATAAGTTGGCTACCTTCAAATAAACAGCATACAACTTCAAGCAGTTAGGACTAAACTCACCTCCCCATGTTCTAACTTCTTCTTCCTTCTCTCTTAACCTGTTCATGATCTTGATTCTAATATCCTCAAGCATCTTCAGGATAGGAGTGCCTCTTGCTTCTAAGATCCAAGAGTTGAAGGACTCTGTAAAATTGTTTTTCACCATCTGATTTTTGCACAATGTATCAAAGTAGGACCTACACCAATTCTGTGGTGGATACCTAAGCAACTCCTTGACAGCATCAACAGACAATTCACCAAGATTCTTTAGTTGATCTTTAAAGTCCTCCTCATAAGTGCTCCAAGTAGACCACCATAGGTATTTCTTCATCTCTCCTGAAATTCTGATCCTCTTACTCCAGTTGGCTTCAATATGCCTCAGACAAAACCTATGATTTGAGAGAGGGTGGATAGTTCTTACTGCTTCCAACAGACCCTGCACATGTAAATTTAAACAGAATTAACTATATAATAACTTAAAAGTAACTAGAATAGTCAGTTAAACAAAATCATAGGTTTTACCTTTTGTATATCAGACGTAAAGGTAATATCAGTTCCATCTTTCAGATTCAATGAGTACTTCAGCAGCTCCAGAAACCATGTCCATGTCAAGGTGTTTTCCTTATCAACTACAGCCCAAGCCAAGGGATAGAAATGATTCTGACAATCTTGTGCAACAGCCACCAATAATTGCCCCTTGCAATGACCCTTTAAGAAAGTACCATCTAGTCCAATGAATGGTTTCAACCCTTGTTTGAACCCCAACTTCATTGCATTGAAGCATATGTACATTCTAAGAAATCTTTTTTTACCTTCAGTCATGGCATCTTTTGATAAATTGAAAACCACATCACTACGGGATTGTTCTCCCTAATCTCATTTGCATATGCTTCTAATCTGTTATAGTCATCTAAAAAGCTTCCTTGCAATTGTTGAAGTGCCATCCTCTTAGCCTTTTTCAATATGGAGTTATGTACATTCAATGAAATTTGATTTTTCAAATCTAGTTTCATATCCTTTATCTTGTACTTGGGGTTATTCTGCACCTTACTCCTTAAATATTCAGCTAAAGTTTTTGTTTTGGCTCTAGGATTCTCAAATGCATCTTCACAGTTGTGCTCTGTCTTCAATGTTTTTATCTTAAAGTCAGGACCCTTCTTATCTTCAGAGATGAGGCATACAAAAGGGCACCCTACTACACATCTATACCTTACTCTTATTTTATCACTTTTTCTAAGCTTCAAAGGTTTGGAATTTGCAATAGCATAGAAGTTCATGACTTTTTTGGCCTCTTCTAAGTCCTTAAATGTCATAGACTTATCAAGCTCTTTGTAGTGACTAATCTTATCATTAACTTCTTTACCCTTTTGCATCCTAAGTAACTCTAATTCTTCAAAATCATATTCACTAGCATCTGAGCCATAATCTGAACTTTTATCACTATCAGATTCACAATCAGTACCTAATTCACACTGATATTGACCTGAAATTGGTTCTTTGTGGTCCCTCATATTGAAATATCTATAATAAAGACACATAAGAAAACATAGAGAGACCACATGAATAATTTAACAACTTTGACAATAAAATATTGAACATACAATTAATTACTGCATATAATATAGTGGAAAGAATAAAGCACACACTTTAAGAGATAAAGCACATGTTTTGTTGATTTCAAACCACAGTGGAAAGCCAAAAAACACTGTTTTTAAGAAGAAATGCACATGATTCTGTCGATTTCAACAACCCAACCTTTACCACACTATGATAAAATATGTGAAAAGGACACTTGCAGCCAAAAACGATGTACACCTAGGGAACAAATTGACACCACATAAGGAAACAACAAAGATAACAAACAAAAAGAGTACAAGACCCACATGCAAACACTATACACTAAAAGTCAGGATCAGAAATACCAGAACATGACAAAACCCTAGAAAATTACAAAAAAAAATTGAAGTTCGAGACAGAGACCTCATAAATAGAAGGCAAAATTACCCGAATATCTTCAGATGATCTTCAATTTGTGTTGTTAAACCTTGCTCTATCGTATCATCCCCTCACCTCTCAAATCGCCATGGAAGAACAGACATGGAAGAACTTAGGTTTTTGTTTGGGAATGGGGTTTGGACCTTCTGCCTATGCGCTTTTGTTTTGGAATCCGCTTATTTGGATTCAGCGGGTTTATGTGGAATAGCTAATGTGGATGCCATGACATGGCTTATGTTTATGCCATCTAGGATACAAAGTGCTGATAGGAAGGAGCCGTTAGGTTGAAGGCATTAGTGGCCCATTTTGCTAACGGGGAGGATATTTTTGGCCCAGTTTACTAACGGAAGACATAAGTGAGCTATATACCATAGTTTAGGGATATTTTTGGACCTTTTCCGTTATTAGAATATGCTTGTCTATAGATGTATGCAATTTTCCCCTTCAAAGTAAAGTTTGGATTGTTAAACTTCGTTTGTTTCAAGTATTATTTTCTTTAATAAAATGGTCGTGTACCTTGTCGAAGAGCTAGTGTTAATGAAAAATTAAATGACAAGGGTAAAATTGCTGGATAGTTTTAGAAATCCCCCTCACGTTTTGTTTTATTATACTGACTTCCCTCATGATTTACAATATTATGTTTACCTCCTTTCTTTTATTTTTCTTTGTAATAATTCTTTTTGTCTATTATTGTTAATATAAAATATGATAACTTGACTAATTTGTCCTTCCTAATATACTCTTCTTCTTTTTTAGTTTAATTATCATGTAAACACTTACCAAAAGTGAAACATTTCAGAAAATCTTCATCTAACAATTTAATTCAACCTCGAAAAGAACATTTCAATTCGATCTGAAAACCCTAAAAATACTGGGAAAACACGGATAAAGAGATGAAAATTGAATTTCGGGCGAAAAAAATTGATAACATACGAATCATTGAAATAAGGAACAAAAATAAGGGAATCTTACAAAAATATCTCAAATAAGTTCTAACTTACCAACCTCTAGCCATTAATTATAGATTTATCAAAACAAGTCAAGCACATGTAAAAATTGAAAACCTAAATAAATAAGGTTCTTTCTCTTCAAGAATCACATGCAAAGATCCACTTCCATATTTTTAAGCGTGATCAGTAACATTATGCAAGACGGAAAGGAAATTTCATGGATGAGGTAGCAAATAAGGTGATGGAATACAAAAAAAATGTATATACATAATATTCTAAAAATCTGAGCAAAAACAAAAACCTTTTTCGATGGGTATGGTTGAAATTCATTGAATACATATAGATAAGTCAATATACAAAATTTGAGAAAGATTTGAGGTGATTTGGACTGATTTGGTATTAAAATTCGTTGTTAAAATCATGTTCAAAAAATCCTTTACGACACATGTATTATGCATGTACCTCACACACAGGTATACATGGATATACATGTGATACACATTTGATACAAATATGATACATATATGATACACAAATGATACACAGTGTGATACACATTATTTGTTTCATGTTCATCTTACTACTTCGAATTTTCCATTCAAACCACCTCAAAATTCCACCAAATCATCCCAAAATTGAGATTCAAGCTCCTTAAAATGTATCCAATCTATTATAATAATACCCACTCAAAAAAAAAAGCAAAAATTTAACTTTTTTTGGCTACAAATAGCTAATTGGCTAATATTAGAAATATTTTATGAATTGGCCAATTTTTGTAATAAGCTACTTATAAATGGACATAACTGGTAGTTTCCCAAAAAAATAATTGTGACTCGTTGCTCACTGGCTAATTCTATAAACTAAAACTAGATCTATTAACTACGTAGGTAAAGTAACAACAACAACAAACCCAATAGTTTCCCATAAGTGGGATTTGGGGAGAGATGTACGCAGTCTTAGCCTTACCCCTACCCTGGAAGGACAGAGAAGCTGTTTCCGATAGACCTTCGGCTACAAAACGATTGAAAAAGAAAAGATAATTGCAACAAGTAGAAATAACAGCAAAATGAAATAAGATCGAATCCACGTACGCAAAGTAATCAAACCATATCATTTCTTTGTTTATTTTTATATAAAATGCAGGAATCAATTATCAAATTCTTACATAAAGAACTGAGACGAAGTTTTTGGAAGTTCTCAATGTCAAAAGAATGTTCAATCATATATTTTCAGAATATTTCTTTCCTGTCGATGCCAAATTCTAAGAGAAATGATAAAGATTTCCAATGTGCAACAAACTTCCTATAAATTTACAGTTAAATGAATCACGTGATAGTGTAAAATTTTGGACCTCAAATATAGATGGAAGGTCCACAGAACTTACTGTATATTACTACAAGGTATCCTACTCTTTTCCACATCCCTCTCCCCGCCCAAAAAAGATGGAAATTATTTTCACCATTTCTCGGACACATTGTCGCTTTAATCAAATTTGACTTCATAATTCCTCTGCAGAACAGCTTGTTCAGCTTAGCAAACAAAACAAAAACCAACTCTTAGGCAAATTACAGCAGAAAGTTGTGGAGAGCAACAGTCCACTACTACACAATATATTTTACATAGCAAATGAACTTCCTCGGTTCAACCATTGTCCGAAATGTAAGCCATGTATCACTGGAACAAGGGCATTATCCAACAATCGCAGTAAAATCCAAATGCAAAAATGACACCAGATTGTTGGAAAAAGAAATGGTAAAGGTTGACCAAAAACTGCCTTTGTAAATTTCTTTACAACTCCTCGCATACCTTGCCTACTAAAAATTATCTACATCAATAAAGACACAAACTGGCAACTTTTCATTTATAGCTCTCCCAAAATTTTGTTCGGCATCCCTGAACATTTTCCGTTCAGCAACTAGTCAAACCGGCAGCATCTACAAGCCTAATGAATAACCGCTGTTCGCTGCTCAATGAAGCAAACCACTTTCTTAGGCAATCAGTTGGATCACATTGATTTGCAGGTGATGCAACTTCAATGTTACTTTCAGCAAGTTCTTCAAAGCTGAGAGGAATTAGGCCAATTAAAGAAATACCAATGGAGAACTGAAGGTGAAGACCCCTTCTTTTGGAGTCACATTGGCAAAGTAATGCACACAAAGAGCTTCTTAATCTCTGAATCCTAACATCTTCACATCCAAAAGCATTAAGACCAGACCTGCAAGAGATTTTTATATAAAATGCTCGTTAGCATGCAATGAATAAGCAAAAAAAATTCCAAGTAGAAACACCATTTTAACCATAATATAAATACAATTAAAAGATACCTACCAAAATATAAATACAATTAAGAGAAAAGGTTTGAGGTCATAGAAACTAACCCTCCATCCAAAGGTTCAATTTATTTCATCAAACTCACTGATGAATGATGATTAGCATCTACTCATTTACATACCTTAAAAGAAGGTACCGAGATCTAAAAGAATTAACCAACCAAATATTCAGGTGCCCAAACAGAAAGTGAATTGTAGTATTCCAAAAATCATTCATACCAAAATCTGGTTGCAAAATCATGCATACAAACAACAAAGGAAATTCAAATACCCAACTACTATGTGAAATTTTATCTTTTATATTGCTGATAAGAAGTTGATAATCTGTGGCAAATGCAAGACTAAATTTGCTCATTCATCTCTCTAGGCCTAGATAACTTTTCCAAACTCCCCCCTCAGAATTCTAACTCATTTTAAACGGTGATTACAAAGCAATAAAAACCTAATTTTCTCAATCCATCATATTTAACACTATCATCTAATGAAATATCTAGAGATAGATTTTTTTCTCACTTCAATGTTTCCAGTTAATATCCGTATCCACGTCCTAAAGCTTTCTCTGTAGGCAACACCTAAACATAGAAGAGCCTCTAGTTAATGCAAGATTCTTTTTACCAAATCAATGAAATAGTAAGTTTACTGTCAGTCCGAAAGAGATGAGGCCAATAGATATGTCCATTATAGCTCTTGTTTGCACAAGGGTATAGCATAGACCACCAATGGGGAAACAGTTGGGAAACAATTTTGAGGTTGTTCGGCTCCCTGAGCAGATGTAATTCGATCATCCAGAGTATAAAACTGCCAACATATACATGTATGGAGGGAATAAACTGGTCAAAAGGCTTTCTGAATGTCCAAAGGGAAACATAAAAGCATCCAATATCAGCAATGCAACTTATAATCTTGAATGTGGAGCACTGAAAAAAATTCAGGATAGAGAGAAATATAATATAGGATCAGGATATTGTCCTATACGGAATGCCAATGGTTAAGTTCATAAATATGTTACCTCATAATATGCTGCTTCAAAGATACAGAAACAACAACCGAAAAAAAAAATGTGAATTCCCACAAGTGAGATTTGGAGAGAGTGAGAACTGAGACCCCTACCCTGGAAGGGAGAGAGGCTATTTCCAAAAGACCCTCGGCTAAAAAAAAAGATAAAAAGAAGTAATGGCAACAAATATCAACAACAACAAGATAAAAAGAGGACCAAAGCCAAGGTAGCAATTAAACAGTAGTAATAGCAATCTAAGAATAAAGGGATAACAAACTAACACTAATGTTATCGAATCGATCGAACCGACGTACAAAGGGAAATGCCTGACTACCTACTAACCTTCTACCCTAATCCTCGACCTCCACACCCTCCTATCAAGAGTCATGTCCTCGGTAAGCTCCAACTGCGCCATATCCCGTCTAATCACCTCTCTTAAAGACTTTTTTGGCCTACCTCTACCCATCTTCATACCCACCAAGGTTAACCTCTCACACCTCCTAACTAACCTTTTGTGCTTCTCTTCTTAACATGACGAAATATCTCAACCTCGCCTCCCGCATCTTATCCTCCAAGGGTGCCACTCCCACCTTATCCCATATAACTTCATTCCTAATCTAATCCAATCTGGTATGCCCGCACATCCATCTCAACATCCTCATTTCAGCTACTTTCATTTTCTGGATATGTGAGTTCTTGACAGGTCAGCACTCTGCTTCATACAACATGGTCGGTTTAACCGCTACTTTGTATAACTTATCCTTAAGTTTCAGTGGCACATTCTTATCACATAAGACACCGAAAGCGATCCTCCACTTCATCCACCTTGCTTCGAAATGATGCGTGACATCCTCGTCAATCTCCCCATCACCTTGTATTATAGGCTGAAGATACTTGAAACTCTCTCTCCTAGAGATGACTTGTGTATCAAGCCTCACATCCATGTCCGCTTCCTCGGTAATGTCGCTAAATTTGCACTCCAAGTACTCTGTCTTGGTCCTGCTTAACTTGAAACTTTTAGACTCAAGAGTCTGTCTCCAAACCTCCAGCTCTTGTTAACACCACACCCCGTCTCATCAATCAAAAATTATATCATCGGCAGATAACCCACACCATGGAACCTTCCCTTGAATGTGTCACGTCAATGCGTCCATCGCCGCTAAAAACGGGATAAGGCTAATCCGTGATGCAACCCCATCACAACCGGGAAGTGTTCTGAGTATCCTCCCACTGTCCTCACTCGTGTCTTGTATGCTACAGGTACACCTTTAGCCTCCAAACACCTCCCTAGAACCTCCCTTGAGACTTTGACATATGCTCTTGAGACTTTGACGTATGCTTTCTCTAGATCAATGAACACCATATGCAAGTCCTTCTTCAAAGATACAGAAACAAAAAGATAATATTATCCCATCCCATATGATCAGAAAATAAAACAAGTATGCAGCTCAGGCCATCTCTTCAATCAAAATGCCAATAGAGCTCACTCTCACGTTTCCCCATTTAAGACTTAAGCCCTATGAGTAAAATAAATGTTGAAAATAATTTAACCATATTTCGATTATTACCTTCCAAGTTGGCCAAGAAGAGTAGTGATAGCAGCAGCATTGTGCTCCGATGTACAATAGTCCAATAAATCCAATAGTGGACAGGCAATTTTGTCAAACATCCAATCCCAGCTCTGCTTGAGAGATCAAAAAAGAAAAACAGAATTAGCCAAAAACTTCTGAGGAATGAACTAGAAGTAGGAAGCAATAACCTAGCCCAGACCCCACCTTATTTCCCAATAGGAACTAAGCAAGCAAATTATCATAGATTCTATTTAAAAGTAAAAAGATATTCCAATAACATCCTCCATTGAGAAAAAGATCCAACACAAGATTGAGTGAGCATTAAAGAAGATTCAAATACAACAATTTAGGAGTTCCAAAAGTTAAGAATTTGGTGTAGTAATAGGCATTAACTAACTTCAATTGCTCTCCAAAACGTCTACTAAACGAATAGAATCACCAGAGAGAATTTCGCAACTATGCAACCTAGCCATTCATTGCAATATAGAAGTACATCTTGCTAGCCAAAATAAACGACATACCATGCATAGAGATAAATTGCATAAGAACTAACTGAAAAGAAATATTAGTCCCCCCTTCCAATTAAAGGGTGTAATTCCTAATAAGATTCACATTAACACACTTTTAGCATTCCAAAATGAAATCCATTTGTATTTTCTTTCTCTTTTCCATCCTACTGCAAACACAAAGTCCAGGAGTCTTGGTTTTTGGCCAAAATAGGGGTCTGTTATGTAACAGCACCACATTTTTAAGTAAATGCATTTGTATCTCATTTTGGGTTAATAGGAATCGGAGTGAATTCAAACTTTGCGCCAAAGGAATCTTTGACCTAAATGAATCAAATAATCTATAATAAAATCAGAGAAAAAGAATTAAAAGCAACAAATATACTGAACAAAGACAAATGGCGGGTACAGGGACAACAGGTGGCGAAGCATGGAGGGGTTTTTGGTAGACATGCGAGAGGATCGGAGGAGGGGTTAGTGGGTTTGATTGCATGAGGGGAGGAAAGAGAAAAGTATGCATAGGAGTAAAAGCACCCCTTTTATCCCATGAGGGGATGGAGAAAATTATACCAAGAAGAGGTTCATAATCCTGGATGCTACCCATTATCCAGTCCCATCCTCTCAAACAAACACAAATAGTGGATAACTCCTGTTTCAGAACTCTTGACTAAGCAGCCCCCCTTCCCCTCCCACACTTCATTCCCGATCTATATCTTGAGGTCATACAGACCATTTCAATAACCACATTAATCATCTCCATTCCTGGATTAAATGCCATAATTTACTGAAGCTCAGAGCAGCTCTGGAAAACTACGTGTCAAAGGAAAACAAATGCAACACCAGTAGAAGAAATGTGGCCACAGCACCCTATGCACCAATGTCAAACAAGATCCAAAGTCAAAACTAAATCTAAGGAGACCCGTTCAGCAGAAGTGACTGAACTGCATGTCGAACCTCAAAAAGTTTGGAAAAAAAATGCTCATAAAGGTTTGAAGGTGATCTATGAAGCTAGGTCCCAAGTTGTTTGCTAAATGCTTTCATATTAAAATGTCCAAAAGTAGCTCTACCTTTTTTATAAATAAAAAATTAAAAAAATAACAACAACTCTCTAAAGCAATTAACAAAGGATGGTAACTAACGTTTATACGAGAGCTCTCTGATGAAAATATAACTAGGCTGTAAATTTGGACCAATTTGTGGGCAAGAATAATCAAATGTTAAAGCGCTTCTCATTTGACCTACAGACTGTTCATATTGCATATCCAGCACTAGCAAATTAAGGCATCAATGATTAATTTGATCGTTAAGCTAAAGCATTACTCCATTTCCATCTGCAACTATAAGAAATGGAGCAGCAATTACAACAAATAGATTTTGGCTCTCTCCTTGCAAGTGGAGTTTCCTAAATATGGATGCTAGAAAATGATGGAAATGATGTGCAAGATGCTGAAGCATTCTATAATAATGTACAAAATGCTGCAACGTACTACAACATCACACAACTGCCTATCATTAGGCACTGAAAGTGCAACAAATATCTAAGGTCATGCATTAGGACCTTTTATTAACTATCTTTAACACACTAGTCATTTGAACAACCTTTCTACAAGCTTCTCCGCGCAATAAAAAGAACAGTACTATTCGAAATTATGTTTTTCTAGATAGAGAAATTATTTTATTAAAGAATTGACAAACCACGGAAAAACCGATAGTATGCGAGTACTTCTCACTACCTTTTGATAAGATTTTGTTTTGGCATAAGTCACTAATTATTGATAATATTTTCAGCCAGAACTCTTTTACTTATGAAGGAAATGACACTATTTCCTGCAGTAGAACAATGCCATTCACTTAAGTAAAAAGTATGATCCACTTTATGTTCCAACATCCTATAATAGCACTCAAATATCCACACTTTTTTTGCACCTGGAACAAGAAAGAAATAAAGAGAAACAACAAATAGGACAGAAGTTCACAAGATTATAGAGTAAACGAGTAAAATAAGAAAAAATCATACCATGAAACCTGCAACAAGCTCCACAAGTGCGAGGGTATTAGTTAACTGGCATGAATTTTCAGAAATAACAAAGGCCGACTGAACTAAATCTACGTCATCTGAGGATTCACCAGTTTTCCTTCCATCACATTTGACTCTGCGTCTTGATGAGTTCAATGATTCCATCAAATCCGACCCCACAGCAGAGCAAGCATAACTGTTAATACTATCCAAGAGGGATGATGCAACAATATCCATGGTAGCTGCACCCTCTGAAAACGGGCATTTACTACCGGAACAAATCCTAGACAATGACTCAACTGAAGATCCTATACAGGAAAGAGGATCAGGAGATGNCCGAAGATCCTATACAGGAAAGAGGATCAGGAGAAAATCTATTCTTGTGAATAAGCATCACCAATGACTTCACCACAGTCATAGCTAAACCATACTCTTTGAGGATAAAGTATTTAGAACCACATAGATAGGCAAATATATGAAGAATGTTTAGAGCATCAGACCTCCGCATCCTTAAGATGTTGCAGGAAGCCTCACAAACAAAACCAACATGGTCAACCGCGGAACATACTGATGCGAGCAAAATGCCTCCAATTAGCAACAACTGAGTAGGAGCTGGTTGCTTGCACAAGCTTACACTATGACCATCCAAAATAAGATTGATTCCTGAATTGGTTGCAAGCTTTGAATCAGAACTTACAGCAGGCACCAGCAATTTATCATGCAAAAGAAAATCCTCCATAAGAGAAAGTACATCATAAAAGTTGCAATATTCCACAAACATCCTTCTTGTATCTACATGTGAAAGTTCTGCAAATATGGAAAATTAAAAGTAGGCTTAGTATACACAAGGTAAGCTTTTTGAGGAAACATCGTAATGCAAATAAATAATAAGGCCAGAAACCTGTATATATGTGCTGAGCAACAGAATTCACAAAAAGGGTCAGGTCCCTCTCCCAATCATCTCCAAAGGCTCTCGTTGCAGTATCAGAAATGTAGAGCAGTAAGAGTGAAAAGAAGACACAGGTCTTCTCCCTGGAAAAGGTGGCAAGAAAGAAGATAAAATGTTAGCTCTTGTTTCAAAATCAACATGTATTCACATTTGAACCCATTTCTATGCTAATGAAGCAGCGGAATAACACTTGAGAAGGACAAAGGACAAGAATAATCCACATAAACTAAGGGCATTGTACGTGCCTAAGAATGACAATCAAATGCTGGTTCGAAGCATCTTAAACTCATGCAAACTTAAAAAATGTAGACACTCCAGATTGCAAAACAAAATAAGGCAGCTAGAAAAGAAAACAGAATAAATTATATGACCTAAAATTATCGAAGAGGTTGCAGTTCAAGTATACAGAATAAGTTTTGACATATACTCCGATATCGGAAGTTGAATAGAAAAAGTTAGTACAGTCCATCCATTATTCATATGAGAGGTAATAATATGTACGATTGATGTCAAGTACTCCGAGATGTGAGCTCACTAAGCCTTCTAATTTCTTTCTAATAGTTGGAAGTAAAATTTGACAAGAGTAACATCATTGCGTCATATTACAAGAACAAAATATATACACAGTTGCAAGGTACTTCTTTCTGGAGAAAAGCACATGATTTTGGGATATCCCACTACCATGAAGTAAACATGACTATCAAATTTGGCACGAGCATAAAACATACTGCTGTAACCATTGACACACATTTAAAATTCAGTCTGTCAAGCGACATATATTTGAAAATTTTATTCATGGCCATGTGACCTTAGGCTAGATCATTTTTTATCTTCTCTCTATAATTGTAGGCTTTGGGCTAAATCTTACCTTCTAAACTCTTAGGGTGTGAGGAAATCATTGTATAACAGCCTAATAATTAACAAGACCGGTTTGTTTGGTTGCACAAGTGTAATTACATAGTTAGACATTTTTTATATTAATAAACGTTAACAATAAAAATTAAAATAAACTTTTTAGATAAACAAGTAAATAAATTTTAGTGTGTGACACATATATGTATAAAGGAAATATTGACTATTATTTATTACTAGGTATTCAGAATACATACTTTTTGAATGTAATTAATAATTATAAACTGGTAATTAATATCATAAAGAAAAATTGATATCTTCCTACCCATGTGAATATAATATGAAATTCATGACTACTTGTATTTTCTAAATAACAAAGGACAAACATGAAGTATTTTTCTATAATTAGTATTATGTCAATGAATAGAAAACTAAGCTTAGAAGGGGAACTTTGAAGCAACGGTAAAGTTCTCCTTGTGACTTATAGGTCACAGGTTCGAGCCGTGGAAACAGTCACTAATAATTGCATTAGGTAGGTTGTTGTCTACATCACACCCCTTGGGGTGCGGCCCTTCCCCGGTCCCTGTGTCCCTTAATAGAAAAATACGCAAGTAGCACATGAAATTGTTTTTACAAGTCTTTCTCATATATTTGAAGCAAAGAGAATGAGTGCAAAAAGAGTAAAATATTTGGAAAAGAAGATAAAAGACAATTTGAAAAGCTGCCTTGTTATTATACGTGGAATTACCAACAAATTTCGCCTCTTTCGAAAATTGGAGAGTGTAATTGCTCCCTGTCAATTACACCCAATTAATTACCCGGCCATACTAACGGTCCAAAACTGTGTAATTACACCCAAATCCAATTACAAGGTGGCTAAGTGGCTTTCCAAACATGCTCTTGTAAACATATGAAAGAAAATGGAAGTACAACTTTAAGCATAGAGAACTTTGCTTATGCCATATTGATATCTGAAGAACAAAGTATAGGTGGATATCCCTGATCCAAAAAAAAAAAGTATGGGTGGACGATTTTGGTATGTCCAATGCAAAGTAAGCATGAAACCCAACTAGGAGGGCGAATATATAACAATAGAACTGCTAGCTTACTTGTTTGAGATATCTTCAAGTTTCAAAAGAGTGACCAAAATACTCCTAAGAGAAGGATCTGATGATGCAGAGCACTGAGCATGAGAATTGCTGGTAGCACGGTAAATACTGGAAATGCTATTTTCGTCGTTGTTATTTGAAAAGATGACACAATACTTGGCAAAACCATCCCATAATGAGACCACTCTCCTTTCCAATGGAATCTGCAACCCCTCACTTGCAGGAGCAGCTAAATCTGATCTGCACAATGCTGATGCATTTGCATAGGAACTGCAGGATAACTTACAAGCTGTGTCAAGATTTATTCTCTTAGATGAATCAACCTGATCTCTTTTCTTGGAAAATGATAAATTATCTGAAGGATCCAAGGTACAATGTTTTAACTGGTTAGAATTGATTTCCACATTGATGACATCAAAACTGTCTGATGAAACCAGAGTCCCCATTGCATTTGAGAATCCCTGACATAAAGGTGAGCGAATCGATTCAAGTGCCTCACTGCTATGGCACTGAATCTCAGGAAGTGTAGGCGATAAAGGCATTTCAATTGCTAGACGATAAGACTCTTCATCAGTATCACTATCCAAATTGAGAAGCTTCATATAATCACCACGGACAAGTTCATCAATATCTCCCAGATCATCATCTTTCCCATCCTTCCAATCCTGGGCAGTTTCTGGAAGGCTATAGACAGTTGGAGATGGACGTGTGCAGACATCAGATTGGACACCACAGCTGTCAAGCTTTGTCTTTTCCACACTATTCTTGTTTAAAGGATGCAGGCCTAGTTCACAGGATGTTCTTCTTTTCTTGCGAGATATAAAATGCTCGCTGCACGTATCGCGTTGCATGTCAGCTACCAAATGCTTTTTCTCAACAGCAGGTCCATCTGTTCTACTATTCAACTTACCATCATGTAGAGAGGTTTTCTCTGAAAGCTGCCTTTGCCACTTGTTACCCCCGGAATTTAAGTTTCCATTAGATTTAGTGGCATCAACAGATCTCCTCATCCTCTTATAATGTGGACCTCTCCTCTCAGTAGAAATACAACTGATCGGACTCTTGACATTACTGTCAGCAATTGCTACAACATTCTCAATGCACTTTTTTCTTGCATCTCCAGGCAAACTGGATATGGTCAGTTCTACGTCCAATTTTTCTTCAGCTGATTTAGCTGATGTTGTGACGGAAGCACATTTGTCCTGTGAGCCCACCAATAGCCTATCAGAAAATGATGCCGAACTGGAATTCATGGCAGAACTCTGTAACACTTTTTTGCTGGAACCTCTAAGTAAAGGCTCCAATTTAGAGTTAATACCTGATAATGATACAGGGTTGTTCCCTCCAGACATCGGAAGCAAACGTACATTACATTCTATCTTTTGCTCGGACAGATCAGACCCAACAGCAGCTAACTGCACGGAATCATTTCCAAAATGACAGTGCGTGTCACAAGCTACCAAACTAGAATACTTGCTTTTCAAGTTGAAGCTGCAAACCTGCACAGCAGGAAGATCATATCATTAAGAGACCATCGAAATAGAGCTTGCATCCATTTAATTAGAGGGGGAAAAAAGGAATAAAGACAAACCAAATATAAATTAAATGGGTGTTTATCTGAAAATGGGGCAGGTAAATAGGAGTGATCTTTCTGAACATATCACATACTATTTTCAAGATTCTGCCAAACATTCTGCAAGATTGTGCATGACCTCAAAAATAGTCAATGTTAATGAAGCTCAACAAATTCTTGAAAATGTTAAACTAATTGTTCAAACAGTCACAGTTTCTGTTCTTACCAACTCCAGTTTTGGTAGAAAATTTCCAAGTAAAATACATACTTCCCCAAGGTTTCTTGAGAAAACATAATCAAAAACACCTTCCTTACTATATATGAGCGTCAACAATGCCAAGAACAAGAGAAACAAACCTTTTCTGGGGCATGCTCATCACCTTGAAAGAAGCAACCGTCCAGTATGTTTAGACGTCTCGAGAAGTGAACAAGCTCCTGCTTTAAGCTAACTAGATTCTGCTGTAGTATATAATTACGGGTTTTTTCGAACTTAGCTACTTTTTTAGCATGCTTTACCAGCATCTTTTCAAGCTTCAACTGCTTTTGCAACAGCTTAACTTTAGCAGTTTCAACATGCACACTACTATCAAGTGCACGAAGAGGACAATCAACAGAAGACCTTGCAGAACTTAGCTTTTCAATTTCTTTCTGCAGTTCTTCGACCCTCTTTCTGTAATTTTTGACCTCTTCAGAAAGCTGATCAGCACGATTTTTTTCTTCTGATGCCTTCTTTTTATATGCTTCTGCAGCCTTTCTTTGCTTTTCCACTTTTTTCATCTCTGATTTGACACGCTTTTTCTCAATCACCACCTTTTCTTCCATTTCCTGGAGCCTTTTTTGGTCTGCATCGGAATTCCCAATTACATCTACCATGGTAACATCTCTCTCCACTGCCTTTGGACCAAGCTCAGGTGAGAATTGAGCAGTTCCTATAGTTGTCCCTTTACGAGGTATGATGTTAACCGTTTTACCAGATGCCATGGGTTCACCGATCTCTTTCTTCAAATTATCAATCTTTTGTCTATCATGTTCAAGCTGACGATATAGATCAGTAGCCCGGCTCTTTTCATCCATGGCCATCTTGCGGTTGGTTTCTGCAATCTTCTTTTGATCAGCAGCTTTCGCCACTGCTGCATCTGCACGTTTTCTCTCTTTAGATGTGTTTTCTCTTTCTGCCTCCAGCTGCTTCTTAGCATCTTCAAACTCCAAAGTCACTGAAGCTAACTTTGATTTCACTTGATCAGCTTCCTTCTTCAGATTTTCCAAATTAAGACTATTTCCTTCGGCTCTTTTTCTTTCAACATCAGCAAGTCTCCTTTCTTCATCAGCCTTTGTTTTCTCAACCTTCAATTTTGTCCTCAACTCGTCCACCTTTTTCCTCACCAACTCAGCCTTCTTCTTCTCTGACTCTGCTCTCACTCTTTCTTTATCGACAAGCACCTTCAGCTCGTTTACCTTGCTTTCTCTCTCAGTGAGATGCTCCTTAAGCTCTCTAATTTCTCTACCTCCATCATTAGCCACCGATTGTTGCTTCAAGGAAAGAATCTCATTCTTCAACCCAGCAATTTCACTCTCTAAAGAAACCCTTAAAGCACATTCCTTTATGTTTTCCTCCTTTTCATTGTTCGCCCTAAGTTTCTCATCCTCAACAGCTGGAAAAAAAGAACAAAATACAGCAGCAAGTCAATGTCTGTCAATGACAAGAAACAGAGCATGTAATCAACAAGGGGAACAACCCCACTAGCAAAGATAAACAAGACCAGAGAGAGTATGCCTAAAATTAGATAAGCTTAAAGAGAACTCCTAACATACTAACCTTCAGACAGAAGATAAACTCAAAACTTGCTACTACGATTTCAAAAATCAAAAAACACTTAAGCTATTGGGAGGTCACATATTCTCACTGTGTATAGTAAGTACTACACACCAAGATACTATGATGCCAATAAAGATAAAGGTTTAAAACTCCTAGGGATTTTCTTAATGAGGTATCAGGACCACCTTATGCGCAGCTCGACAAATTCACCAAGCAGCTCGGTATAGTCAAACTAGGTAAATATTTACGTGCACCGATGTTTACACCAAACCAAACAAAGCAGTTAAAAATTAAAGGGAGCATGCATATCATTTTACCATGTTTAAGTTGTAAATCAGTGTATGAAGTACACATGTCTAGCCTTCACTAGTTTGATGTAAAGACCATGTGCGAGTAAGTTTTACCGTCAAACTATTCCTTTGCTTCCTTTTGTTTTGTAACTTATAAATTTCTCTATGCTTCTAATTTAAAATTAATACTCAAAATACTCATTTTCAGAAAGTAAAGGGTGAATCCAAAGTAAAACAAGTAAAAATACCTTTCCTGAGAGAGAGATTTTCAGATTGCATCTTCAAAACTTGTTCCTCGTAAATGGAGAGACCTTTACGAAGCGCATTTCTCCTATCTTCAAGCTTTGCGTAGCCGTCTTTCAGTTTACTGTACTTCTCTTTCCACTGCAAACACAGTGCAAAAATCAACCAAAAACTAAAGAAACAAAAGAAAATTGAATGTAAAGCAAATAGAAACCCTAACTCGAAATGCTTACAGATATACAGCAGGGATTTGTAAGCTCTTCTTTTATCATTACATCATCCGCCATTGATGTTGATTCGTACATATAAAAACCTTAAAATCTTTACTTTTGAGAAATTTACGCATTCGCACGGAGACTAGGCATTACTGCTTGCATAAATCCCTCAGTTGAACCCTAGCATTGAAAAGGTTCACTCAACCGCCAATACAGCTAACTAAGAAGTTAGAACCCCTAGGCTAAACCCTATTTTCGAATTCTTAAACAGTTGGAAAACTTCAGAACCGGACCGACTCGGGCATATCTTCGTCCCTTCGGGTTTTATCAGTCACGCAGACAGCGTATATCGAACCGGGTCTCGGTTCAACTCGGACGACAAGTATTTTAAAAAAGAAAAAAATCTAAACCAAAGTCATAAACATTTGTACAAATACTAGTGTCTATAAATGTGCATTGCAGATTAATAATGACACATAATAGTTTAAATATTTATTTATATAAAGGAATAATAAATTAAATTAATGAGAGAAATTTTATATATAATACTACAATAATCTTCTAAATGTCGAAAAATATTGTTACATTAGCATAATACGTGAATTCAAAATGAAAGGATATCATCAGAACTAACATAAATGATCAATTTTAGTCATATTAAGTAGATAATTATGTATTGTAGTTTAAAGGTATCTAATGCGATGGTATCTTATCGAATACTTCTTTATAGACGGTGTCTTTTTGTATATATTTCCTTCTAATGCTTTGGTTACTGTGTCATAACTAGAACTCTTGTTGTCGATATTGATATCTCTCTTGAAAGTGCAACATATAGTTATTCATGTAGGAAAATATATTGTGGTAAATATAGTTCAATATTTAGAATATTTGTCGTTGTGCTTTATTTATTATAACTACAAAATATAAATATACTGAAAATTATTTTCACACAAATTTAAAAGGATATTCCTTAGTTTAGGAAAACGAAAGTTGAATTCGAGGATAAACACATACTTAGAAGCATATTGACCAATATAATAAGTTCTGCATGTATGACGTTATTGTCAAAAATTTTATACACCATATGTGTACTATTACATAAGCTATTCAACGGATCTAAGTTTTCAGTAGAATGACATACATATTTCTTCAAAATCAACCTATATGCAATGGAAGATTAATTTTAATTTAGTTTATTATATATACGGCGACACTAACACACGTAAAAAATAATGAACTTGACAACAAACATGTACGGTAGAAGGCCATTTGGTATTAAAGTATTTAAGTATTCTTCTTAGTAGTTATTATTGGCATCATCTACCGTTGAGTCAAAACTGAAAATTATTTTATTTTTACCATAAAACTTAGCAACGAACCTTTTATTTAGTTGATCAACATATTCATTTCTGCTAGCTAAGATAGCTCTTTAATTTCTATCTGTAATTTGCACAAATTGCATTTTTTAATGATGAAAATATATATATTTTCCTTATTAAATGCACTACTATTACCATTGGGGTTGATAACTAAGTGTTCTAGAAGAACCAAATCATCTTTTATTAGATGCTCTTATTCGTTTCTACGCGAAGCAAGAAGTCACTGAATGTTGGATCTATTCTTACTTTTATATTTCTTGTCATTTGAATATTTTTTATTTGAGATCATAAGTATAATTGTGGCAAGCTAACTTTTACATTTCTGTTTTGGTCAATTTTTAAAATATTGTAGTCCAAGAAAAAAGTTATTATAGCTATGTCCTTTACCTATGAGTTCTTCAGTTTAATATTTTAGAGCTATTTTGGTCTATCAATATTATATCAATGCTTTTATAATCATATATAGGCTCTCCTGTTTTAAATAGATTTGGACAATATAATACGTTTTCAAATTAAATTAGTAATATGAATTTTTTAAGAAGTAATATCCTAAAAGTAATAGGATTACAAGGCTAATATCTATTCCCAAAAATTATTATACTAATAGGATTCATAAAGGTAATCATGTAGGATTCCTAAAATACATTATTATATCCTAAAACTAATAAGATTACAAGGCTAATGTCTAGAATTCCGATTATGTCCTTTTATTATGACTTATTATGCTTAATATTAAAAGGTTATTTTTATAATCCAACATTTTATTCGTATTTTTATAATAATATAGATTAGTTTTAGGGCGTGTGTTCTCATGTTAAATAGTTTTAAAAATAGTTTTGAATAATGTGTTTGAATTATAAAATAAAAATAAGATATATAACTTTGTAATACTATGAGTTGTGATCTTATTTAAAATATCACTAAGATAAGGTGACCTGATAATATAAAAAATTATTATATATTCATTATAAGTCTGCGTATACATGTTAAAACAATTTTTAGAATGACCTTTATCGTGTCAACAAATATAGTGGGACAGAACATAAGCTCACGCCTTCCGTATGGGCCAAACAATTTTTAGAATGACCTTTATCGTGTCAACAAATATAGTGGGACAGAACATAAGCTCACGCCTTCCGTATGGGCCAAACAATTTTTAGAATGACCTCTATCGTTTCAACAAATATAGTAGGACAGAACATAAGCTCACGCCTTCCGTATGGGCCCTTGCCACCGAACCCAGCCCGTCTAATTTTTTTCGGACCATAAAAAACGTATATCTTATAGAAATTTTTTGTTAAATATAAAAAAAAACAAGTAAATAATATTTTTATCACGATAATTTGTCAAATAATACAAATTGAAAATTTGAGTCTTTTGGTCTTATCATTAGGAATGAAGAGTATATACGGTAAAATATGTTCATATAAATTCTCACATAATAAAGCGATACTCGGGGCCGAAGGCAGATTAAAAGCAATGCAAATGGTAATCACGTCCGAAGCGGAAGCTATGCTCCCGGAACCAGAATTTTTGCTACATTTATCTTGATTTCAACGCTAAGTCTTACATTCTTGTTTAATTTATTTATCATTTTGGGATCAAATCGATTTACTTATTTATAAATCACGTATAAATTCAACTGTACCGTTTTACGGGTAAACAATGAAATTGGCGTGTAGCTCCTACAAAAAATTTGATAAATGATAATTAATATAAACTTAAAAATGACTACTGTCGAGTTAATAAATTACAATAAATAACTTAATATATAGGAAAAATATAGAAAGTTGTCATTTGCTGGAATGTTTTTAGAAAAAAAGAAAAATAATTAATGCTAATGTTAATAAAAATACATTTTAACTTTTATTGTTTCATCCGCATTGCTTCGAGTTTGCAAGAAAATAAGCATTAATTGTATGATATTTTACAATTATTAAGTAAGTTCTCATATAGAATATATTTCTATTTGTCTCGTGTATGATGTTTGCAGGTTAAAATAATTATTGAGTATAGTTGTGAAATATTATACAAAAAAATAATAAATAAAACTTTAGTTGATTTTAAAGATCAGAATATTAGGAAAATTAACATGAAAAAAAATTAGTCAAAAAATAAACTATACTTTGATGATATTATAGACAATAAATTTGCGTCAAGAAAATAATTGAGACCGAAAAATATTGCAACAACCGTAGTATTTTATTTTTTAAACAATATGAATGTTACAATCTCTATGAATCCTCTGAAATCTTGAATTTTATTTTATTTTAATTCAAGTGCTTGAAGCTTGATCTTGATCTTGATCTTGATGTATTTTATTCCAAGGACTTGCAGATTATTTTTGAATCTTCGTCTTGATCTTTTAATCCTTAGAACACTTGAATGTTTGTATCTTTTAGAGAAATCTGCAGTGTTTGATCCACGAGCTCTCTCTTGATTCTTGTTATAAATTCCGGTTCGCTTTTTGAGTTATGAAGACCCATATTTATAGTTGTGGAAGAGAAGAGTTGTGAGGAGAACAAACTCTTCCCGATCAATTGATTGAAGCACGACAATGCCACATTTGATTGGCTAGAAGCACATGTGACGCAGTTTTATTGGCCTTTTTATTTGGCTTGGCATGCCTTATCATTTGACATGTGACATGATCCTATTAGCTCTTCCGTTTGACTTGGCGTGCCACGTCATTTGACACGTAACACTAAATTGGAGCTCTAGGGGGATCACAACTTGGGCTTACTAAACTGGCATCATCACTTGTGGCCCAATAAACTTGAACTTATTTATTAAGTTCATGTATATTTTGGATTTATATAATTAATCAAATTATATTAGCCCATTAAATTTATATGGATTAATATACATCTTAAATTTAAAATATAGTCTAAATTAATTTATGAATTTAAATTCAACAATTTTATATGCCTACAGACATAAGTATATTTTTCAAGATAATAATTATATAACATAATGTATATCAATAGTTTAAATATTTAATTTGAGAGAAAAGTGTACATTGAAATGCTTTATAAAACTATGATATGCACGGTTTACCTACAAAAGATAGGAAAATTTATGGACAAATTGTTTGATTTGTATAAGGTAATTTTTAATTGGTTTTGATATCTTAAATACTAGAATTTCCTTTGTAGTAATTCAAATAAGAAGATTTTTATTAAGCATATTTTAATTAATTTTAAAGTGCTAAATATTAGAAAAATAATAAAATAACTAGTTTATCCAATTTAAACTTTATTTTGTATGTAAGCTATGATAAGAAAGATACGTTACGTTAGTACTCGGTTGGGTAAGGCATCGGGTGCCCGTCGCGGCCCCTTCTGTTTCGGTCGTGATAGAGACACTCAGATGTTACATGTTGTATCTCCTCTATCTCTCATTTACATTACTGTTCTTGTTTATGTTTTCCTGCCCTACATACTCAGTACTTTATTCGTACTGACGTCCCTTTTGCCTGGGGACGCTGTGTTTCATGCCCGCAGGTCCCGATAGACAGGTTGACGTTCCTCCTAGTAGGCTATCAGCTTAGCGGAAGGTATTGGTGCACTTCACTTGCTCCGCAGTTGCCTATTTAGTTAGTATGATTTGGACATGTATTGATTGGTATGGCGGGCCCCTATCCCGACCTTTATGATGTGTATGTACTCTTAGAGGTTTGTAGATGGATGTCATATATATGAAAGATTGTATGGTCTTGTCAGCCTATGTTCAGTGTACGAGTGTTCATTTTGGTCTTATAGGACCATATGTCACATGCATAAGTTTGTATTACATATTGAGTTGTCTTATGTCAAGTAGTCCCTTATGTTTTATTCTGGTTATATTATGACGGCCCTTCTGACCCATTTACCCATGATGGTATGATAAGAAAGATACGTCACGTTGGTATTCG